GGGATGAGGGTGCATAGACGGATCGGGATGGAGATGCGGAGACGGGTGAAGATGGGGGTGTAGAGACGGGTAGGGATGGGGATGGGGGTGGGGGTGTGGCGATGGGTGTGGCGCCGCGCGTCCGTTGCATGCGGCGAACCAACCGCCAAAGGAGATACATAAGTATGCCGGCAATGATTAGGAGGCTTAGTATAATGAATGCCGCTTTTATATAAGAGCGGGCGGGGATTGGGTGATGTAGGTTGGGGAGATTGTTACTACCATCTTGATGAACAATGAACAGAGAGGAAGTGGAGATGGAGTAAGAGAGGAAGGGTCACTGTTGGTGGCAGAATGATTTCACTGTTGGTCGCAGAGTACAAAATAAAAAAAATTTGCTGTTGTCGCAAATTTCGTCGCAGAAGTACAAAATAAAAAAACATTATATGTTGTTGCAAATTCCGTCGCACATTTGTGACGGACGAGGTTTTCTGTCGCAGATTTTTAAAGTTGGCTGCCCGTCGCTAACACTATCGCAGACCTGCGGTTGAGATCGGAGAACGAAGTCATGAAGGCAAGGTTAGATAAGATTGAATTGACAGTTGCTGAACAAATACGAATGATGTGTGGTGGAAATCTTCCGACACCTCGGGACCCTGATGATGGGATGGGAGGCTCAGGAACTGGTTGTGTAGCATGAACAACTTATGACAATTATGTGTTTTATTGAACATTGTGTTGCGATTGAAAATGAATTTGATTGAATTATGTTTTAATGAATATTGTGTTGTGATGGACAATGAATTGAGTAATAATTTGTGTTTCGTAAGGAATTTGAATAATACTGTGATGTTTCAATGCTGTTGTTTATATGCTGTGTTGTTGTAATGTTATTGTATTATTGGGTTGCTGAAATCTGGTGCAGAACAGGTTGCTAATATCTGGTTTATCTGCGACGGATTTATTCCGTCGCAAATTCCGTCGCAGATTACAAAATAAAAAAAATTTGCCGTTGTCGCAAATTTCATCGCAGAAGTACAAAATAAAAAAACATTATATGTTGTCGCAAATTCCGTCGCACATTTGTGACGGACGAGGTTTTCTGTCGCAGATTTTTAAAGTTGGCTGCCCGTCGCTAACACTGTCGCAGACCTGCGACAGATTAACATTTCTGTCGCAAATATTTAAAATGCGACAATTAATTTGCGACGGAATTTTTCCGTCGCCGACCCGTCGCAATTCAGAAGACTGCGACCAAATCAAAGGGTTTGCGACATATATTTCCGTCGCTAATGCCGCAAAATTTTGTAGTGATTTACTATGACTTAATATAAAATAAACAAAACGAATAACTAAAAAGTTAATTTTTAATATACTTAAACAACATATACATCTAATACTATTCGAGCAACTCGGAAATCGTTCAGAGGTGAGCCTTTGATAAATTTGATAAGAAGGAAGAAGAAGATGATTTCATGATTGCTTGTGAAGTTTTCCCCAACTGAACATTATAAAAGGGGTGCAAGCCCCGTAAATAGCCAAAGTCCCTTTCAACAGAAAGCCAGCTGGCACAGTGGCACCAAATAGTAACCAAAAAATAAAAGAGAAATTTACTTAAATAGCACTTTAACATAATGACTTTCCCTAAATAGCACTGCATGTGTTTTTCTTCTTAATATAACACTTTTAGTCATTGTGCATTAGTCATTATTCAAGTAAATATTCGTCATCACTAGACATTATGGACATTATAAAGTGCTATTTAGGGAATAAAACAATTTAAGTGCTATTTAGGGAAATGACTTAAGTATTAGTGCTATTTAGTGCAAATATTCCAAAATAAAAACCAAAATAACAAAACTAATCCAAGCTAATTACTAGTCTTCTCAGCCTCTAGAGGTCAAATTCGTCAGTCGAACCCGCGCCGTCACTTCACTGGGCCGGGACTTCGTTGTGGTCGTCCACAATGTCCTGTAACGAGGAACCACTGGCAGAGTAGTACGATGACGCAGAAAGGAAGTCTCCGCGGCGGCGGCTTGGACTTCCAATCTCAAAATAAGAACTACCGCCGTCGCTAGCGGCGGAGCGGGATAATGCAGAAAAGGAGTCTTCGCGGCGGCGGCTTGGACTTCCAATCTCGAAATGAGAACTGCCGCGGTCGTAAGCGGAGTTCGGATTTCCATCTCGAGCTGGGCCACTGTAGGAAATAGAGGATAGCGGCAGACCGAGCAGGTCTCGTTCCCATGGAGCCACTGGTCAATGCAAGCCGCGTGGAATGCATGTAGGCATCACGGAAGGCGCCGTAGCCACTCGTGCGCCTCAAACTCCGTGAGGCATATGGGGCACTCTACATTGGTCAGGCACCCCGTGACTGAACCAAATGTGAAGCTCGGGAGCTCCACTCTGTCAAAGGCGGATGGGGAAGAGAGTGCCGATGGGGATGGGGATGGAGATGTGGATGAGGGTGCGGAGGCGGATCGGGATGGGGATGCGGAGACGGGTGGAGATCGGGGTGTAGAGACGCGTAAGGATGGGGATGGGGGTGGGGGTGGGGGTGTGGCGATGGGTGTGGCGCCGCGCGTCCGTTGCATG